AAATTTTTAATTTAATTAAGTAATGTAATAATGTAATAATTACTAATATTTATAATATAATGTTATAAATTTATAACTAATTAAGTAATTATTTAACTATGTATACAATAATTAATTAAGTGGTTTATAATATAATGTAATGTTATAATTAATGTTTAATATAATGTCATAATTAATTGAATAACATCTAAATATATATTGTTATAATTAATTATGTAATCTACAATAATGAAATATTGAAATGTCACAATAATTAGTAATTAACTATAAATCTTTAATATAATATTATAATTAATTTGTTATAGTAGAATGTTATAATTAATTAAGTAATCATTTAATTTAATATAATGTTAAATTATTACGTAATCATACTATAAATTTATAATGTAAATTGTAATTAATTAAATTTCTAATCATTAATAAGTATTGTGTTATGTTTAGGAGTAAATTAGTAATTACTATATTTTATATAATGGTCATAATCAATAAGTATCATTAATTATGTAATGTATAATTAATTATGTAATCATACATAAGCAATGTTATAGTGAATTAATACATCTTATAAGTCTTTAATGTATATATAATTAATTAATTTTTAACCATTTAATTAAGTTTGTATTATGTCTACAATGAAATTTATAACTGATTAAATATTACTATAAATCTATAATGTAATGTTAATTAATTAAATTCTTAATTATTTAATTAAGTAATATACTAAATGTTATAACTTATAAGTCAATTAATAAGTAGTAATTAATTAATATATGTTATATTATTATTACTAAAATCAATTAAGTAATGTTATAAAATTAAATTCATAAGTAACATTTAATTATGTAATGTTATAATTAATTATGTGTTATTAACTATAATGTGTATAATGAATTAAATAATCAAACTATAGATCTTTAATGTAATATTATAATTAATTAAATTTTTAATCATTTAATTAGTAATGTAATAATGTAATAATTACTAATGTTTGATAATAGAATTATAAATTTATAACTAATTAAGTAATCATTTAACTATATACAATAATTAATTAAGTAATCATAATATATGTAATATAATATGTTAATTTAATTAAGTAATTATTTAACTATAATGTAATATTTAATTAATAAATTTCTAATTATTTAATTAGTATCATTTGTTATAATGTAATGTTATAATTAATGTTTATAATGATATTCAATTAATTAATAATAATTTAATTATGTAATGTTATATTAATTAGTAATCATATTATAATAAAATATTGAATGTTACAAGAATTAAGTAATCATACTACAAATCTTTAATATAATATTATATAATTTGTTTATAATATAATAAATGTTATATAATTAAGTAATCATTTAATTATCTGTAATATTACAATCAATTACGTAATCGTACTATAAATTTTAATGAATGTTGTAATTAATTAAATTTATAATCATTAATTAAGTATTGTGTTAATGTTTATGTAGTAAATTAGTATTACTAATATTTAAATATAATGTCATAATCAATTAAGTAATCATTAATTATGTAATGTTATAATAATTATGTAATCACCTATAATGTAATGTTATAGTGAATTAGATCATACTATAAATCTTGATTGTAATTTATAATTAATTAAATTTTTAATCATTTATTAAGTTTGTACTAATGTTATAATGAAATGTTATAATTGATTAAATAATTATACTATAAATTATAATGTAATGCTATAATTAATTAAATTCTAATTATTAATCAAGTAATATACTAAATGTTATAACTTATAGTCAATTAATTATTAGTAATTAATAATGTAATGCTATATTAATTATACTATAAATCAATTAAGTAATGTTATAAATTATAATTAATTAAGTAATCATTACTATATGTAATGTTATAATTGATTAAGTATGATATTTAACTAGTAATTAAATTTATTATGTTTATTAATTTTCATATATAATTAATTAATTGCTAATTTACTATAGATATACTAGAACTTGATAATTGAAGTAATAATTAAATATATTATATTCAATCAAATATACTATTTTATTCAAAATAATTCTTTAATAACATTAAAAATTTTAAAACACTTTTAATTAGATCACAATTCCAATTATTCATTTAATTAATTAAAACTTAATATTAATATATTATAATATATTAAAGTTTTTAATATGGTGTAATTATATGTAATAAGTATAATTGTATTTATTTAATTACGTTATTCGAAAATTTAACTTTTTCTATTTAATTTTTTTTATATGTAAAATATAGAAACCCCCATTATTAATATTTCACAAATTTTCAGTGTAGCCCAGGTTCTAACAGGTTCCAAAAATCGTTCCAAACAGGTTTCAAACCGGTACCGCTACAGGTTCCCAAACAGGTACCCGTTTAGGTTCTTTTTCCAGATTCTGGTTCTGGTTTTGGTTCCAATTCTTCCACACACACAAGAATCGGAACCGGAATCGCACAGTATCGGTTTCAATAAAATGGAACCGAACCTACCGCACAATGTCAATTCCAGGTAGGTTCGGTTTCGGTTCTACTACCCACTGCCTATACTCACCCCTAGCTAGGAGTTGTATACACATGAATTATCAACTTTTGTCTGCCCTGTGTCATTTTGTCTATAGCTAATTTTCACGGTTTCTTGTAAAGGTCTTTCTGATGGATTGAGTAAATTTGGAAAGGGTGATTGAAGGAGTATTCAAGGAATTTAGTGTCAGAACACAATTCAGGTGGCTAATCATGCTGGATGAGTAAATTGGAAAGGGTGATTGGGAGGAGTATTTCAAGGAATGTAGTAATGTCAGGAACACCAACTCAGGGGCTAGTCATGCTTAAATGTGATTTTGTTTTTAATGCTTAAGTATGATCTTTTGTTTGCAACAATTTTTACTATCATGTTAGGATTTATTATGAATTTCAACTTTAAATCATGTTTGAATATTAAGTTATTATTGTCTTATTAAAAAATGAAAAATCTTAAAATACAAAATAAAAAGAGTTTTTTTTTTTCTATGTTGACATCACCGATCCAACTGGTGGACGGTTGACCTTGACCCAAGCAACAGGACGATTGCTCTCCAATCCGGGTTTTAAAACAGTGATATAGAATAATGAAACAGGTGGAAACTTGCAGATTTCAATACCTTGGGTGGCAACATGTCATTTACTCTACCCTAAGCAAAAATATCATAACATTTAACACGGTTGACAATTTCCAGGGATAACGACCAAAAAGGATGGGGGCAGGTAACCCGCACGGGAGAGTGGGCAAAAAATAAGAATAATGGGCTTGTGGCTTAACATAGGTTGAAAAATCAGCCAATACCTTCAAGTACACAGAAGAATCCATGGAGACAAAATATTACATACTCTCTGAACCTACAACAGAGGGAAATAGATTTTTTAGATAATACAACAATTACACAAAGCACATGTTTTAGCACGCTCATGTACTTTAAATCAGTCGAGTTCACGTTCCCATTCTAAATCGAATGATTCTCGATCCACCTTTGATGAACTCTTATTGCTGGCCACCGGTAGTGGTTTAGTTAACCGATCCCAACCCATGAGTGGGGCATGCAAACTGCATACATAACAAGTTGTTGGAACCAAATAATGCTAGAAAACAACTAATAAGCAAACTACAGCAGTGTCGTAGTGTGTTTTCACAGTGGACTCTTAGGCAAAAAATAATATCAATAGCTAACAATGTTTACCATGTCGTGCATAACTCAAGCTAGCAGCAGTTGGAAGATTTGATTAATCAACAATATTAGATTATGAACTTTGGTAAAAAAAATTAAATACCAAACAACAATATAGGCTATAATATAAATCCACAGATTGAGTTATCATACACTGCAAGCAGTCTTCATCACAGTGATTCGGCGGTTGTTACAGGAACAACAAACGTTCAGTGTTTTTAAAGTTATTGCCGACATCTGCAAAGAAATTTATAGGCAATAATTAGAATTTTATTAGGGACTCCAAAAAAGAGGTAAGAGTGGTAGCCTGACAATACTTTGAAAATCCTGTTTGCAAGTAAATAATACAAGGAATTATAATCATACAACAAAATAAAATTCTTAAACAACTCAACAGGAATAAACTTGATGTCATGGATCAAGTTTACTTTCTAATGTTAGGCTCATATTCCAAATAGGTTTACCCAATTTTCTATCAATATAGCTTTTTAGAAGGAAAAAAAGGACTTACTTGTATAAAAAGATCCAATAAAGATACAATTCTTCCATTTTCTCTTTCTTTCTTCTCCTTTAAGTTCAATTAATAAAATGTCAATTAATTGGGTTACATCAACTCATATTCACCCCTCTTTCACGAACAATTTTTGAGAGCAAATAATATCTTACCATTAAATTCAGTTATATTGTTTATTTTACCAAAAACATTGTCATTGTGCTCAAGCATAACAACATACCACATGAGGCAAATTAACAGCTACCCACAAAGCCACACATTAATGTTTCAAACAAATAAAATCATTGTAATTAAAAATTAAATTACTTGTTCTTATGAAAAAAAATGTAGAGTGTAAGATGCAGTTAAAAAACAAAAATAGTAAGAAAAAAAGGCAAATTTTAATTTCATATCATCCGCTAGTTGCAGATAGAGTGCTTACTCAAAGAACGAATAACCATTGCCATCTGCAAGTGCTTTAATTGATAACTCTTCCTCACTTGACCGCATTGCTGCAGCAAGAATTGCTTGTCAAACAACTTAAGGCATTCAGAAATTAAAAAAGGCACTACATGCCATTTACACTAATTTCTTTTCATCACAATGTTATTTTCTTCCAAAGTAAAGCTACACCCCAACAAAAGTAAGCCCAGATCAAATCACCTCCCCTTTTGTCCACCAACAACATAAAACAACCAAAAAAAAAAAAAAAAAAAAAGGGGCATGAGGGACATAACCTTGATAGCATTGAAGGATCATGGAAGAACTCAGAAGACTCTTTGGGACCCTGCTTATCAAAGACCCAACTTCTGTCGGTGACAAACCAAAATGCTACAAAGTATTAACTAAAGCAGTTATAAGCAACTATGGAAAGCAAGAGAGAGCTGTATTATTAAAAAAAAAAAAAAAAATTCTCGTTGATCTCCTGGTGCTATTATAGCTAAAAGGACAACATCTACAGATAAATCATACAGTGGAAGAGAATAGTTTGTGTGGCTCATATATTGATTGACAATTTCACATAATAAGAATTCAAATGCAATTTCAAATTACCTGCTTCCTTCCCAGTCGTACTTGCGCTCACCAATAGCAGGCCAAAAGGTCAGCATAAGACGCCTTTGCGCTGGACTCTTAAATCCCCAGACTGTGAAACAGAAGAAATGAAAGGCATTAACGAACCCCCTAACACAGAAATGCACAAAAGATTGATAGTGATGAAAGATTCAACCATACATCCAATTTAGCAAAAGTTGGAAGAACAGGATCGACAGAAAGTGCAGCTTTGCCCTTAAACAGAATAAGGAGCAAATACTCGACCTGCATAATTCCTTACAAATTTAAGGTACAGAAAAGAACAGATCTACACATAATCATCACTGACACTATGAAAAGTCTAAAATTTCTTTAACATCCTCCAACGAGCCTATCAAAACCATTAAATACCTTCGCACCCATTCTGTCTGTCTTGCAGTTGACAAGCTAGCAAAGATGAGTAACTTTGACCATAAAGCACTCCTACATCATCAGCTTTTCCAGCAATAATTTATCAGAAGACAGTTTCCTGCCTCAGCAAAGAAAATCAAGAATAAACTTTAGAATGTTAGATCACATATCCTATAAAATTTAGGATGAAGCTATTTTCACTTCCATATATATGTGTGTGAGAGGGACGTGTGCAAAATTGGACTATAATTTATTCCCTTCAATCACCAAAATTAGAAAAAGCTAGATTAAAATCAATATCGTAACTTAAGGATGCTTACAAAGTCCTAGATTTTGAACTTTTGAGGTTACACTGAAGTCATTAGCAGGTGAAGAACGATAAAACCTGTATTTTTCATAGTCGATATAAGGGGGTGTTGTCTGAACTTATAAAAATTAGCTTATAAGCAACAAAATTTATAAGCTAATTTTAGCTTATAAGCATTGAAATTTTAAGCAATCGTGTTTGTTAAGTACTTATAGTGACTGATAAGTAGTTGACGTGTTTGTAAAATGTGGCTTATAATACATTTTATTATAAAATGACTAAAAATATCTACATTAAACAAGGATATACTATGAAATTTTAAAATAACAAGGATAATGTGGTAATATACTTGGTCAAACTAGCTTATAACAGAGTGTATAAGCCAAAAAAAAAAAAGTATCTCCCCCAACTTATTTTTTTGGCTTATAAGCTCAACTTACCCCTAAGGCTTCCAACAATCGTAAAGAAGGTATGTGCCATTAGCAATTAAAGAGGCAGTACTCTCACAAGCGGACATATAAAGTCTATAAACAATCACTTCAAATACATGGCAACATACTCACTTAGGATACCCGAAAAACCATTTATATCGGAAAGCTTGTTTTTAGGATTGTATCCAAATCTGTTTTTGAAAACACAGCAATGTGTTTTCAAAAAAATTCTCCATCCTTATTTTGGAGGGGGGAAAAAAAAACCCTTCATTTCATTTCTATATCGAACAAATCCAATGGTTTGCTAAGTTTCTCTCACTATCCCTCAATTTAAATAAACCTATTTGACTATGATAAACACTGAAGAAGCTTTATAAGCTTCTAACTGTTCATTTTCTAACCGAAATAAACACATATTCAAGTTTTTATTTCAACGACGAAATGTAGCTACTTCCTTTCTCAAAACAGTAAAAAAATAAACTTCAATTTAAAATCAAATTTACATTTTCTAACTCTTTCCTACGGTTTCTCGGCAACCAAACAGAAATAAAACCACTTTCTCGAGAAAACAAATAAAAAGAAAAAATTGGTTTTCGATTAGGCTAGAGTTTGAGGTTTGAAGAAGATACCTGGAGCGAAGCAGAGAGCGAGAAAGTTTCATCATTTTTGAGAGAGAGGATTAGGGTTTTAAAGAGAGAGTGAAACTGAGAGGTTTAAGGGCAGACTGCATGTTCGATAAAAGAGGGAGTGGCAGGGACAGGGTGCACGGATACTCTGTGCAACCGTGCGTAGGTTGTGACGTGTTGAGTGGGTTTTTTTTGGGGTTTAATTATTTGGAATTATGATAATGGAGGAAAGGAGAGAAATCCGCTGCGTGCGTCCCTATGCTAAGAAGATAATCGAGATCGTTAAAAATAATCAAATCAAATAATCAGACGGCAGGTGTTAATTTTGGACCCGGTATAGATTACGGGTTAATAAAAAATAATTCTATGTTTAATACTTTAGGCTTTGTTTGTTTTAATATTTTTACATTATCTTAGTTCTATAATTCTGAAAACATATTTGTTTCCTGTTATAAAAATCATAATCTATTTATTCAACTACGTTTAAAGCCTTGATTTATTAATTTAACTAAACATCTAAAAAAAAAAAGTTTAAAAATTGATAAAAGCACCCTCACAAACCCACATTTGCCAGATTCTGGTCACCACCATCAAAGTGGCCAGAATCTGCCATAATGACGCACTACCGACTAGATTAGATTTGGCTGATAGTGCGCCGATATAATCTTTTCTAGCTAGAGCCACTGTGGATCTAGCTAGAAAAGGCCAATCTACAGCAAATCTGGCCGTCAGATACTTAGTCGTCGTTGACAACCAAACCCAACTAGATTTGGTCATGGATTTGGCTGAAAAATCCATCTTGGAGCACGACCGCCAGATCCAACCAGTCGTGCACAAATACCGCGACTTCGGCCACTTCCGCGGTGTGGCCAACTGTTGGTATTTAATGTGGGTAGGGTGTTTTTGTAATTTTAATTTTTTATTACGGGGTGTTTAAAAATAACAAACCTAAGGGTGTTTTTGTTAATTTTGAAATCTACGCCGTTTACCACCCAACTCTTACTTTTTTAAAATCTATCCAAAACATTAAAACAAACACACCCTTAATTGAATAACAAAACTTCAACTAATTAAGGTTGTAGTAAAAAAAATAGAGATGCTAAGTTCACAACTAATTCACAACTTTTGACTTGACAACCGTTATAGTCAACTTGCAAAATGGGTCCTGTCTACTTGTATGCGTCTCGTCTGTCCATTTGCAAGCTACCCATGATAGCTGCAAGTCGGAAGTTGTAGAGAAGTTTGTGATCTAATTATTAAAAAAATATCTCCTTAAATAAATTTTTGTGTTAAAATAAAAGCTAATGACGATACTGCTCCCCAAGATATAATCAATACAAAAATCTTTTGAAGTTTTTGAAATAACAAAAATTCTCTTACCATTAACGGATTGTTAATGAGCCGTTAGAATTATACATTATAAGTTAGTAAATATTTTAAATTATCCTCTTACTGTTATTTTAACACATAAAACTTAACTGCAGAGGATTTTTATTATTATATCATACTTGAGAGGGATTAATGTCATTCACTGTCATTATTTTAGAGTTAATGACATTAATCCCCTTGAGATATGATATAATAACAAAGGTTGCGTTTGTTTTATTATTTTGGGTAGGATTTTGGGGATAGTATTGGTAATTGAATATGGAGTATTCGAGGTAAAATTTAAAAATTATAGAAAACCCCTAGTTTGCTAATTTCATAAATCCCCAACTTGTAAATTGACAAAAATACCCCCACCACATGCAGTGCCAAATTCTGGCCACCACCGCGGAATTTGGTGAAAATCGCTTTACGACACGACCGGTCGGATCTGTGTCGTAACGAGTCGTTATGGCCTTTTCCGGCCAGATCCACCACAGATCTGGCCGGAAAGGCCAGATCTACGGCCTGCCGTGCCGTCGACGGTCGAAAAAGGCCAAAACGACGGCCAAAGATATGGCCGTCGTTTTCGGTCAACGATGGCCAAGATTTGGCCGTCATTGACCTCAAGACGCCATTTCTTTGGCCGTCATTCCGGCCAGATTGGCCTTTTCCGGCCAAATCTGTGGTGGATCAGGCCGGAAAAGGCCAATCGGTGAACTTCCGACCATTATGTCGGCAGATTGGCCGTTGTATAGATTTCGGCTACCACCGACGTGGTTGCCGGAATCTGGCGAGTATGGTTGCGGGTGTGTTTTGTAATTTTTAAACTTTTTTTTAGGGTGTATTTGATGAAATTTAACCTTATGGGTTTCTAAAAATAATTAAAAATAAGGTAATTCTTGGAATAATGTGCAAACATTATTTGGAGAATAGGATCCAGAATCTGGTATAAAATAATAAGCCAAACATAGTGAAAAATTTTCTTGAGATGTCCAAATTAACAGAAATTTTCATGTCGTTATAAACTGTCAATAAATTGTTAAAATTTATACTAGATTAATAAATATTATCAAATTGTCTTTCTACAATTCATTTTTGTTAATATCATATCTCAAGATTAATATCATCAACTCTAAGAAATATTGTAAAGTGTCTGCCATTTTTTAAGAATCGTGTCTCTTACGTAATTAAGTGGAAGTTTTTCAATATTGTGAATTGTGATATCTTCAATAGTATTTAGGATCGTCAATCCTCTATTGATGTGTCATTGTAGACATTCTAGAGATGAAATACCTTTTTTATTTCACTTAATGATTTTCTTATGAGACGTCATAGCGAAATTAAAGATTATACTTTAAAAAAACTATAAAATATAATTTAATAACTACTAATCATATTAATCGTAAAAACATGTTAAAAAGAAATTATTCTCCCAGAACACAAAAAAGAAAGCGTCTCAATCAAGAATCAAGATATTATTGGAATGTTGGCAATAATTTATAAAAATAAATAAATAAAATGGGGCTCCATACATTAACATTCTTGAACTGGTGATTTGTGAGTGGTTACTAATCTACCATACTGCTGTTTTGATGAGTGAACACACAACAATGGCAAGCACAATGGACATTAATGGCCGTCTTGGGAAGCAAGGCAAATTAATCCATCTCTCTGTAAAACGATAAATTTTTGCGGCTAGAGTCCTTTTTGCCAAAAGATGGCGGACCAAAGCCCAAAAGTCTATAATACTATATTGATGTGAAGGGTATGTCCATTCTCCGTCATATTCCTTTTATATATTGGAGTGGCCAATTCAACTCATGGAAGAACTATCATGGTTAGTCATCGTTTCGGCACATGCTTGCTTTTTTTTCTTATTCTGAAGAGTTTTCTATGAAACAAACACGATATAAATCGACCTCCAACCCCAACATCACTTCCCTAATTGGCCATCTCTAGTGAAAGAACCCATCCATAGATCATTACAGTGCTATCAAACAAATATGGTCCAATCGTAAATCTTTCCTTTGGAAACCGTCGTGTGCTACTCATTCCTCTCCATCTGCCACCGAAGAATGCTTT